TACACTCGTTTCAAATGTTTCCGCAGTTTCCTCTGTACGGAAATTGAAGTTATCTTAATTACAGTAACTTAAAGGCCTACTCTGGGACCTTAAGTCGCCGTAACTTTGGGCGATTTAAGGCGACTTAAGCAAAATTGGCAGAAAAAACATTGCGACTTTAGGCGATTTAAGGTGACATAAGGTGACTTAAGGCGACTAAGGCAACTTAAAGCGATTCTATTTGACTGAAGTGATAAAACCAAAGTTAGCAACAGTCTCTCCATAAACTTAAAAAATATCTACAGAATCTCTTGCAATAAACACAATAGTCATTTTGGTTACTTTTGTATGTTCATAGGTCACCATAGCCTAAAACATCCATTTTTCAAACTAATTTAGCTAAAAATACTTAGACAGAATTACCACAACAATTATTGTTAAATTATACAGTCAAAGCTAGTGAACAAATAGCCAGGAAACCAAGTTAGCTAAAAATGTTCTGACAGAATTACCACCACAGGTATTGTTAGATTATACAGTCAAAGCTAGTGAATAAATAGCCAGGAAAACATTATGGGTTATATACCCAACATCAAAGACACCTTTCAGAAATATACACATAGTGACATAAATTTTTAATTTAAGGAAAGACCATGATTTGCATAAAACTATCAATAAATTTTCCACATAATTGATTAAAAATAACTTGACCATTTACGTGTATTAATTATTTCACAAAGCTTCAAAAATTAAAAAAACTGTTATCTTGGTAAACTTGTCACCCATATTTTTTGTTAGTTTGGCAGGTCGCATGCCTTTCCAACAGCATCCAAAATTGCTCAGTCCTTTTCAGGGACTCAACGGATTTGTTGTTCTCCTGCTTTTCAATTGATTAATCTTACTTGGTTAATCTTACTTGGTGACTTACTAATTTAAAAAGGAAGTAAAGATTTACTGAGAATAGTGGCAGGTGGTCAAGTCCCTTCAGGGCTGTTTAAATTATTGATAAGTACAATAAATTTCCTGAAGCGATCCCCTATATTTAATTTGTGCCATTTCGTTTCAAAATATCCATTTGAGGTTTTGGGGGCATTTCTATCGCAGTACTTTCGCTGCCGGTTGGAGTTGTTCGAAGATCACAAGAAGGATTGATCTATTAAGGTTTATAAAATGTCAAACTTCACGTCACGAGGAAAGGAAGACTCCGTAAAATTATCCGTGTGCTTGTTGAGTTCCGCTGAAGAGAGCGAGGATGTCAAATGTAAATTCAATTCTTACATTTTTATCTACGTGAACGCAATTTTATCCATCACTGCCTTGCCTGGAAACTTCATCATCCTCGTCGCCCTTTGTAAAGAATCTACTCTCCATCCACCATCAAAACTTTTACTTCGTTGGCTCTCGTGTACAGACCTCTTGGTAGGAATGATTTCCCAGCCCATATTTATTGTTTATCACAAGATGATCGCTGACAAAGTGGGTGACGTTTGTGAAGTAACTGAAAGCTTAGCTTACATTACAAGTGCAGTATTGTGCGGACAATCTATTAACACAATGACTCTTATAAGTACGGACAGGCTCTTTGCTTTGCTGTTCAGGCTGAGATACAGGCAGATTGTAACTTTAAAACGTGTCCGTTCATTGATCATATCTTCATGGATTGTAAACTTCACTTTTGCATTGACTTATTTGTGGAACAAAGAATTTTTCTTTATGGGCTCCTGCATATGGCTATGGCTGTTCTTAAGCATATCTTCTTGTTGTTACTTGAAAATTTATTTCCAAATTCGCCGCCAACAAGCGCAAATACAGGAACATGATTCCAATTCTACAGCTTCTTTAAACTTGGCGCGGTACAAGAAGACTGTTTTAAGTGCACTTTGTATACATTTAACATTATCAGTGTGTTATCTCCCTTACACTGTCACGACTACTATTATTTCACTTGAAGGAATATCAAACTGTAAAGCTATCATTTGGAACATTGCTGGAGTGTTAGTTTTTCTAAACTCGTCTTTGAACCCAGTTTTGTACTTCTGGACACTAAGAGAAATAAGACGAACAGTGATGGACATTTTCAGACAATTTTTTTCCTCATCGTAACATCAAATACAAAGCCCTCCTACTAGAGCGGAAGTTAGTAGTTTTAATTGACTTTGTGAAAATAAGATACAGTTGAAAGTTTGTTAAGCGGTTTGGAAGCGCTTTTCGATTGATATACGAAAGACTAAAGCCAAAGTAATTAGGACATCAAGTTAAAATAAAGGTTAATTTTACAAGTAGCGTGTAAGAACTCAAAATGGAAACAGGCAAACTCCCTGAAGCGTGATAAAGCACGGGCGATCAAGTCGTGATTGGTTTCAGCTTTAAACCTCATTGGTCGAATCGGTGATGCGATTTTTGTGGACCAACCACAGAGCTTAATGAAGTAAACCAACACAATACCAGATTGCTTTCGACGCTCAACGTTGTTTGTAAACCGTTAAGCTGACGCCTTAAACGCTCTCACTGACAGTTGTAGTTTTACAGAGAATACCTACTGAATTCTAAAATTGTGTGCATCTGTAAAAATATCCTCCAAAATTTTTAAACTTCTTAATGCAGTCTGACCAAAGTCCTCCGCAAACCGCGTTTATAATTATTATCATCATCATTTTTATTATCCTAAGTGAGCGCGCCAAGACTTCCTCACAGGTCTTCTTTGATAAGCTTTTTTTCCCTCTAAGCAAGTTCTTTTATTCATTACTTTCATATTATGTGTCAATGTCGTATGCAAGCTAAACATACTATGGCTCGATTAAGTTACTTTTGCTAGAACTAGGGGGTATATTTGAATCACAATGTCCTGATTTATCACATTTCCAGCTTTATTTCTTCTCTTTTGTTCATTAAGTACTCGGGCCGAAGTCACTGTGATCAACAATAAAAACAATGTTTTTCAAATAGTTAATTTTGTTGACATCATAGATCCAGAGCACCAGAAGGACGATGAAAGGAATAATATAACAAGAAGGCTTCACTTTTTAGTGAGAGTAAACCGTCCTTCGTCTACTCCTTAATTTTTGCCATCTATTCTGATTCTTCTTCAAAACCCTGCTTATAGATTGAAATGAGAACTAGGCGTCCCTGCCAGTAGAGGCCTCTGTATTCAGCGCTAAATACGAGGAAAAGAGGCCTCTGCTTGCAGGCCACAACTACCAAGCCCAGTGAGCCTTGAGCCAGTGCCACGATAATACAGGAAAATATTTTTGGGAAATAATTATCATGGCAAACAGTTTTCCTGGCTCGTCAAAGCGGCTATTTTGTGGATCTTTAGAAGAGATTTGGTTTTAAGAGGTTGACAATCACATGTGTGCTAACTTTATATATTTCTAGTCAAAATCTTTTTTAGAATACACATGATGCTGCAAAAGGGTGTCCATTTGAAATCTCTCTCCACCCCGTGGGGAACCTTGTATAAAGATCAACTCAAATCAGAAGTCTATACATAGATCCTTAAAGTGCATTTGTCAAACACAACTAGCTCAGCTTTTTAAGGTATTTTCATTTACGTTAGTAAGCAATAAGGTCGGTTATTTAGTCACCTGAACAAACAATAACTAAAAATTTCGTTCACTGCGCCAATATCAATTTCCCTTTTCTGTCCTGAATATTAGATTTTTTAATTGATTCATTACTCATCATTTTGGATTGAAACAAAAAAGTAATCCAAAAGATGGAATTAATTTATCTTTTTTTCTGTTATTTTTGATTTTGCGTTATTTAAATTTTACAATTCTTTTATCGCCAAAAGAAGGATCAAAGAATATTGCATCAAAATTAAATTACTGAAGATACTTCTCCCGATAACTGACGTTTATTAACATAAAAAAGACAGTCCCATTACCCACTTGTCAAAAGTATTTGTTATTGGATGTCAGTCAGCATGACCCCCTTATTAAACTTTGTTGGGAGAAGTACCCCCCTCCCTCAGCATTCAATGGCACAGCATTCAGCGACTGTGATAATTTTTTTCTGATTCTGAAACCAAAATGAGTAATTTGACTTTTCAGCTATCTTCATGTCCGATAAATGTGGACCGGAATGAAGGAACTAAGCTCATATTCAATCCTTATTTTTTTGTTCCGGTCAATTTTATTCTCTCGGTCTCCGTGCTGTTTGGGAATGTTTTAATCCTTGTCGCCCTTCAGGATGTTTTAACGATACATCCGCCATCGAAGCTTCTGTTTCGTTGTCTTTCGAGCACTGATCTCTGCGTTGGCCTTATTTCACAGCCGGTGTACATTGTTTATCTTTTCACGATCGCTAACAAGAAATGGAACTGGTTATGTGGACTATCTGAGACTTAAGCATACATTTCAAGCGCTCTCTTGTGCGGAGAATCTATCACCACGTTGACAGCTATAAGCGTTGACAGGCTTTTGGCTCTGTTATTGGGATTGAGGTACAGAACCGTTGTCAGTTTTAAGCGCGTCCTTACGTTTGTAATAACATCTTGGATCTCAAATTTTGCACTTGCTATGACATATTTTTTTAACAAGCGCTTTTTCTTTTCGTTATGCTGCATATGTATCGCATCTTGCCTGTGTACCTCAACTTGTTGTTATGCCAAAATCTACACCATTCTCCATCATAAACAAGCGCATATACACGAAAATACGCAAAACACCAATCGTGGTGGTGTTTCCTTCATGAACATGGAACGATATAAGAGAACAGTTTCGGGTGCATTGTATGTGAATCTAACTTTGGTAGTCTGTTATGTACCATACACTGTTACAGTTGCTGTAAGTACTGTCTATGGAAAAACCTCAGCAAATGTAATCGCTTGGAATATTGCTGCCACAGTGGTTTATGTCAACTCATTGCTCAACCCATTTCTTTATTGCTGGAAGCTGCGTGAAGTGAGGCAAGTGGTGAAGGGAAAATTAAGAAAATGGCTCTGCTTTCAGTGAAAAAAGGCATTTATATGTAACTCGGGAATATGTTTTGTCAGTTTCATAGGAAAATGCATGTGTAGCTCATTTAGATGTATTTTTTGTACACGGAAAGATTAACGACGGAAGTATGTCCCTGAATTTTATTTATAGTTTATCATATCATGGGCGCTTCGTATGAAACTAAAAAGCTTTACTCGACAGATGATTTCAAAAAGACTCTTTTGATTCTTTAACTTTCGATCTAACTCCTTTAAAAAAAAAAGCAAAAACCTGAACAGAAGAAAAGACAACAAATTCAATTCCATGAGACGCTTGCATAGCAAAAAAATCATCCGTGCTCTAGCTCTCTGATATATGAGATACGCCCCGAAGGAAGTCAGTTAAGATGTGAAGGAAGGGAATTGCATAAAGCTATAAATGTTAGATGAAAAAAAAACATAGAAAAAACTACAATTATTTCAGTCCAGACTGTTGAAAGACCAAAGATTTTCGTATGGTAGATAACGCAGTAAGTGTTTTTTTTTTTTTTGTCGCGGGAGCAGTACAAAGAAAATATCTTGGTTCACCCACGAGGAATTAAATGTCAGTTTTCAGAAGTACTCAGGACACTTACTACGTACGTGCCAAATATATGCCTAAGTTCACTATTTACCACAGTGGCAGAGAAACGGACCGTAAATTCAAGATCTGAGCTTTGAATCTTCGTTGGGTTCTCAAATATCCTCCTCGTCCTACGCGGAAGACAAAACGAATATCTTGTTTCTGTATTCAACAACCGGGCTTGAAAAGTGGCATCTTTCTGATTAAATCAAATTGCCATATAATATTCCTTTTTCACATCAGCTGTTTAAATATGCCCACCCCTAAATGACACCATGAAAAGACTCTCAGTTGTTTTCGTACTTATTCCAATATCACCCTAACTATTTCTGTAAATACGAATTTAAATTGCAAGATATTGATTAACTTAGATAAGCTTGTATTGTCTTTCTGGTATTATCTCGTTGGAGCACATTTGTGATTGATGGACAGTGGATCACTTTTCAGTGTGTATTGAGCAGATGTTCGTTAGCATAATTTTTTTTTCATTCGGAGATGCCAGTCTTCCTTTCGAAACATCGACCGCGAAATCGACTGGCGAGCAATCTTGCATTCTACCCGCGGAGCCATCCCTGTTCCTCACCTCTCCTAACCTCAGCAGCGGATCTTTCGCAATAGTATGCTTTACATCAACTATCTTTTTTCTCACTCCCTTATTTTCTTCAAGCCTAAAAAGCCCAACAATTTTCAATAAATTATGGAAGCACCGCGGTAACCATTCGGAGAAAGAACAAACCGATTCGTTGAACCATTGTTTTAACCGCTTTCCTCACTTCTCTAATCCTCCAACAGTAAATGAACGGGTTCAGTGTGGAATTAAGATAAACTAGAGATGTAGTGCATCCTTCTGCGATAACAATGGACCGGCTATCTCCAAGGCGAGTCCTTGTCACCTGTACAAGAACGAATGGCAGATAGGACACCACCAGTATAAAGTAAACCCATAATGAGGTAGAGACTGTCCTTCTATACCTTAACAAATTTCGTGGCCGGAAGACCTTGCGTTGATCGTGAGCATTCTGTTGCAAAATTCGAGCAATTCGACATCGTAAGGAGAAATATATTGAAATGTAGGAGTACGCCGACGCTAGAAGGCATAGCAGAACACTCGCGCAAACAGTCATAGTGAAGATAGTTGTGTTCAAAAAGTATAACACTCCAATCGAAAGAAACACCGTCCACGAAAGAAAAACGACTTCTTTCACTCGCTTTACGGTTACAACACATCTGTGTCTTAGCCCCAGCTTAAGAAGAAGAAGTCTGTCTATACTGACTGCGGTTAATGTGAAAAGTGAAATGCTACAAAGGAGAGCTGTAGATACCTGCATTACACTTTCAGTTCTTTCACAATCATTTAACCTTTTTGTAACGACCAAAAGAAGGTAGATCACAAAACAAGGCTGCGAAATAAGTCCAACACCGAGATCCGTTAGTGCCAGAGAACGAAAGAGAAGCCTTGTTGACATATGAAGCTGATTATCCCGACCGAGAGCCACGAAAATCACAATGTTTCCCAAAGTGGCTGTGGCACTCAAAATTGCATTTAAAGAAATTGAAAAATATATCATCCACATGGGCCGAAGATCCTGAAGAACTTTGGAGCAAAAGGTTGCATTCTCCATTAATTGTGTGGATTTTACACACCAAGAAGGCCTCTTTAATTACACTAAGGAGAGAAAGATTACATATGAGCATTTCGTTTTCACGAAAGAAGAGATTGAGCCATGTTCCTGTAAATTTGTGAGAAAAATGCGGTAGATATGTAGATAAGTTAACTTCAATCAATAGGGAATTAGAATCTAGTAACATTATTCAAATGATTTAGGGCAAATCTAATTACCGTCTGTTAAGTTCCCTTTCAAAATTATATGAATTCCTTATTATCTTTACTTCCCGTCCCGACAAAACACCCGCTATCGCCAACGATGAGCATGTTTTTACTTTCATACTACTACTTTCATCTCAGAAACGCGGATAAAAAATTTTAACTACTTTCATCTCAGAAACGCGGAAATGGCACAACTATGACACTGTCTCGAGAAGAAGTTTCACAATACAATAATTTTTTAATCTATTTATCTTCTATACGATCTGATGCAATACTCAAGTTCACTTTAGCAAAATCAAATTCTTCAGTCGTTGTAATAGACTCACGTTAGGTCCTCTGGAAAAGGGTTTGTGGGCAGTACATCGTGAGAGCTGCTATGAATGAAAAAACAAGATATACATATGGAGTATGCCTCAAGGTCTTCTATGTATATAATTCTGAAGTTCATTCAGGTGTTATCACCCGAGTTCGGAGGTAAACATCGCTTTTCTTGGAAATATTATTGACTCAGTCGCAGATTTTCCATTATCATTGTCAACAAAGCCAGCCAGCGGTTCCGGACCTTGATAGACATGTCTTCAATTTATCAGGCAGCTGCCGGCATAAAACGTTTCGAAAAGACGAAAAGTAGTTATTTTATTTTAGCTGGTAATTGGAGGAGAATATTTTGCTTTTAAATTGGGAATGAGGGAAACAGAAGACAGAAAAAAAGAACAATGATGTTACAACTTTACTTTTAATTCTTAAATCAACCTTTCAGCAATTTGAAAAAACTCTCTTGTTCAAAGCTAACGCAAATTTATTCACCAAAACGCAAACAGCGGGGAGATTCAATATTTACCCTTTGATGTTTGGCGTGAACGTCATGTTCATCTTCTCTGATCAAATTTGTAACAAAAACCTTGAAGATGATTGGTTATCGGCAATTCGATTTACGCGCTCATAGGACAGTGTACGTGTCATGCCTATGTAATTGGATACCATGGTTCATTTAAGTAAACTGTGAGGTGCGCTGTTCATTTTACCGTGGAAAAAAGTCTACCTATAGGCCAAGGCATGGAATAGTTGATTTTGTCTTGATAAATTGGTAACACGACTTTGTGTTGCCAAATTCAGTTTTGAACAATATTCGTGGTTCTTAAACAAATCGGATTTTTTTTTATCTTTCTCGTAATTACAGATCAAATTGGACTCCATGCCAGTTAGATTTATTGTCACTCAATAATGAATTTAAGACTAACGCTCCAGGCTGCGGCAAACGACAAATATGCTTTTGCTCAATTTTCTTAAGGTTCAGCAAGAAAAACGTGCGGTCACCATGGTGCACGAATATTCTTATATTAATTCAAGCCCCACCCCTCCTTAGCAGAGTCAAAAACTTTGCCGTAATTGATTTTCAGTGGAAATACAAGTTTATAACCTGTATCAAGTATCCGTGATGACTTCCACAAATTTATCACTTATTCACAAACATTTTCCCCTTTTGTTTTAATTTCAAGCGAGTTCAAACTTTTTAGTGTCCTTGGGTTGTAATCTATCTCAAGTTTTTCAAAAGGCACGAAATGAAAAACGCTCTCAGCAGTAAAAACTCAATACAAAGCTTCGGGATACGCAAAACCGTTGTCTTAGCGTGTCCTTCACTGCTTGTCTCACCACGCGCATCTTCCAGCAGTACAAAAATGGGTTTAGCGTTGAGTTAAGAAAAACCAACGATCCAGTTATGTTCCAAGCCGCCAAACCACACTGTAGAGGTTCCCTTATTGATGTATTGATAGCAGTAACAACTGTGTATGGCAGATAACAAACTATGAGTGTTAAATACATCCACTTTGCACTAGCCACAGTTTTTCTGTACCACGCTATTTTCAAAGTCGCCCCTGAGTGTTGTTGGTGACTTTGAATTTCAGCTTGTTGACGGCGAAGGTCGGCGTAAATTTTAAGGTAACAAAATGACGAGACGGCTAAACATACTCTTATCCACATACAACAAGCAACGAAGAAAAAGCGCTCATGAAACGAGATAAAGAAAGCAATTACAGAGCTCATCATCCAAGAAAATATCACGAGAAGACAAACCCGTGTTAACGTCACAGTTTGTCTGTACCTTAATCTCAGTAATAGAGTGTGGAGTCTGTCCACACTTATTGCGGTTAAAATGAGGATAGATTCGCCGCACAGTATGCCACTGAAAATTTTGGCCAAATGTTCATTTATCCAACACAACATCTGATTCTTTCTGATCGAGGAAGCAAGATAAATGATACACATCGGCCGTGAAATAAGTTCAACCAAGAGGTCCGTACACGACAAACAACGAAATGAAAGCTTTGATGGCGGATGAAGAGAAGTATCTTTATGAAGAGCGATGAGAATCAGAATGTTCCCTAACAGGGAAGTGATTGATAAAATTGCATTTATGGAAATAAACATATCTACATTGGCCATGCAACTGGAGGTGTCGTCTTCACCGTTCTTGACAGCGGAACATTTTCCTCTTCTCCTCCGTATAATGGAAAGTGAATCATTTTACCTTCCTTTTGACTTGTCAGCAGATTTACAAACTAGTTGGAATGTTTCCTTCAGCCTAGTAAAGTTTCATCGAGAGAATCCTTGCTGTTCAGCACAACCAAAAAAAGTGAATCACCATTGAGAAAAGGGAAGTGCTTAGATAGCAAATTGGTTGACTGAGTATAACTCAAAGTTTTAATCAGAATTATTATCAATATACGCGGCCAAATAGAAAATCGGCCTCTTCAAAACACACG